CCAGCATATCAAGTGGCGAAATCACAAGATGAAAGTGAAAATTGCAGCCCAAACTCTCAGCTGTTCCGTTGCCTCAGCCATAAACTTCTTGTGTGCTCTAAGATTTTCTGGATTTGAAGACAGCGCAGCAACAACTGATTTTATTCTTAGAATAAATGACCTTTTTGACCTGTTAAATAGTAAAAACAAATTTGGAAAAGGGAAAAAGCAACCAATAACATTGGAAAACATTGATGAATTGGCATATTTCATTGCAGATACTGAAAAGTATCTAAAATCACTTTGTGATGCTGAAAAACATATCATCTACAAGGGTCCTCGAAAAACATTCATTATGGGTTTTATAACAACAGCAAAGTCAATTATTGCCATCAGCAGAAATTTACTTTCACAACCAGATAATAGATTTGAGTATGTTTTGACATATCGTTTCTCCCAAGATGCTTTAGAAATGTTCTTTAGCAAAATACGTGGTAGATTTGGCTGGAGCAACAACCCCAATGTTCTTGAGTTTAAATATGCATTAAGGGCTCTCTTACAAGAGAATAAGATTGACTCTCCTGAAACTGCTAACTGTGTAATGCCAAAACAGGACTCAGAGCCTTCACAGGATTTGGACCTAATACCAGCAGATGAGCCCCCATGCGATCCTCGGGTGTACTGGCTTTTGAACACAACAAATATATGGAGATATGATGCTTTGTATTACATCAGTGGATATATTGCCAAACGCCTCATTGAATCAATTAAATGTCCAGAATGTGCTGTTGCCCTCTATGAGCCACAAAAAGATACAACAAATGCATCAACCTTGTTGTCCTTCAAAAGTCATGGGAGTTTATTCATTCCATCTTCATCCACTATGCGTGTAGTCCAAGAAACTGACAAAGTTGCAAGGGAATTGATGATTAATTGGCAAAATATGTCAAAGAAGGTAGTAGAAAGGTTGTCTTTGCGTATTCTTGAAAGGTTAAGAAACAGAGTCTTTCTTTCCTTACAACAGCATTCAATGGAGACACACAAATTACAGGAAATGGAAGCAGATCATATAACAGCACTGATCAAGTCTATTTGTCAATTGTACATGAAAATTTTCATTTACCAATTCAGCAAAGTCCACACAGAGCGTGTTGTAAAAGCAAACCGTCCATCAACTAGGCATAAGCTGCTGAAAACTGTCCTCTTTTACAATGATTAGCTGAAGTTGAATTGGGACTCTTTGCTTACAGCATCTGTAAATATGTATATAGAATGGTGAACTACTCTGAAAGGATCATCATTACTTTGTGTTAACAAACGTGAAGTATATAGCGCCAATAACTGTGTTTCACCTTATTTAAAAATATTTCCGTTAATGAATGTTAGGTTTAGCTATGATGTGACGATGTGGACACCGTTCTTACGACTCGCAACGATATCTCCCATCAATCCAAGTATTGCAAAAGAAACGCGGTTTAATCAAAATCATTTGCAAACCTTTAACGTTTTACATTCATCTCCTTAGACAGCTCCCCGCCTCTTTAGACTAGGAGCTCCCAGAGCCAATAAATGCCCCCTCTTCAATACCACGGGTTAAGGCCTAAAAAAGTTTGCGTTTGTTTTTTGAATAAATGGCCCTTTATATTATAAAGAATATTAAAGATTTTCAAAGATACTCTACATAACTATTCTTACCTAGTTTCATCGCTGCAAGGATGTGATCTTGACAAAACAAACTTCCAGTGATCACTGCTTCTCTTTCTGCCTTCATCCGAATCTTGTTCCTTGTTCCGAATCCATTGCAACAAAGATTTGGAAAAGTTGTCTCGTTTGTAACAAAGGTTCTCATGTAAACCGTAAATATGTTTATTCTGTCACGTATAAAATTTCCTTCTTAAATACCTTAAGATCAATTGTCAGTTTAACCCTTACAAGCCATTTCCTTTGGAAACTCTCTAGTACTACTATAACCGCTGTAAGCTTTTTGCCACTCTAAGCTACCATTTTGTTTCCGCATGCTTGCCACACGCGTTGCTCATAGAATGGGCCCTAGTCGGCACTCTAGCGTTTCTTATCTCTATGACGTGAACCCTGGGGGGGGGGGGGGATTCCACAGTGAATATTTTCGGTTTTGGAATATTTTTTTTTGGGCTTGTAGGCCGAAATGGCCCATCGCCAACACAATTACCATACATAAAAGTTAACATAATTACAAATTAATAATAAATCTCAGAACATAAGTACAAATTAACCATAAATCTCAGAAAACAGCCAACAGAATTACTATACTTACAAGTTAACATAATTACAAATTAACAATAAATCTCAGAAAACAGCGAACAGCTAATACAAAGATAAACAGATGAAAAAATGATGACGAGCTGGAAAGCTTACGTTACGAGGATATGCACGTAGAGGACTTCCCAAAAGATTCCCGTGACTCAAAAGCCAGCGATATAAAATTGGGTATCGATATCAGACAATCCGTATCTTCTTGACTCATCAACCAAATAAACTTATGACAAAGGTCAAGGGATGATATTCTGGGAAATTTTGAATAAATCATAGATAACATAGAATTCCTAGCAGTCTCGTAAAGGGGACAAACTAATAAAAAATGAATTTCGTCCTCCACAGCAGTTTTATTAAAAGATTGGCAATAGGGACATTTTCTATCAATCCTAGGAATAGGATTCTTCCCGTATCTACCTGTTTCAATCCTAAGGTTGTGAGACGTAGTTTTGCAAAGTTGGATCTTTTCTTTTTGCTAGGTATCAAGTCTAAGTAATGCTCAAACTTATAAACAATTTTGAAAGATGCGTATGTACAAAGCTTTTTATTGAGAATAATTTGTTCTTGTAAATTTTCCATAATTTTTGACCTAAAATGGAAAGCCACTTTTGATTTCACGATAGAGGAGTTATTGGTTGTATGTATTCTGTAAAGGGTCATCAGGGAACGGGCAATACTGACCCAATTAGAAACACCGGAATCTGCATCATTAATTAACATTTGAAGAGCTCTGTACGCATATCTGGAGAAATCGAGATTTATTAAACGAATATAAAATTTTAAGATGTTAATATGTCTATGTTCAAGCAACGAACAACGTCCCAACTCCGCATAAACCCCAAGAGACGTTGTAGATCCTTTAACACCTAGGGTTGACTTGCAAGCCATGAGATGAATTTTTTCCAGGCATTCCCATGTACCAAATATCCCCATACGTCAGTGGCATAATTTAGGATAGGAAGTATTGTACTGTCTAATAAAAATAGAAACAGTCCTGGGTTGAAACCATCCCATTCGTTGCTTTTGGACAAGAGAGCAAAGTAAGATTTTTGAGCTTTTTGCTTAATTATATCAACATGAGCACTGTAGGAACCATTAAATTTAAAAGTAACTGCAAGGTATTTTACTCATTGCATTCTTTGATCTCTTTATCGTCAAATTTCCAAATTTTGCATGCCTTAGATTTTTTCTTGTTTTTTCTTATAACCATTATCTTGGTTTTGGAAGTATTTATCTCCATATTAATGGACAAGCAGAACTGGTTTAGCTCGTTAAACTGGGATTGCAGATATACCCCATTTACTTTGCTTTCTAGTGGTTAGATATGACGTAAACCAAGTAAGTTCTAGGTTTTCAACACCATACTTTCTCAACTTTGCAAGTAAAATGTCATGGCGGGAAAAGGGAAGTGCATGTGTGAGAGTTTGTAGTCAAGGTCATTCATTATTGATGGCCTCATTCATCTTTCATTAGCACGGCAATCAATTCGTTTCTGTTCCTGATCACCTGATGTCTATTTTCACTTTGGCCCGGAAACTGCGAAGGAGATTTTCCCGGTTTACAAGCCAGGGCCTAACTGTGTGTCAATAGTAGGTTGAAATCAATCACAGCTAACCTATTACTTGATTTCTAATAAGCAAAACAATAGGAATCAACAGATTTGATGATGTGATGTCCTAGATCCAGGTTAGTTTCCTTTTTCGTGCTTCTTTCTTACGCTCTTTAGAGTTACCATGAACTATGCCCTTTGACCCCGAGCGACCTTTGTGCAGGGTATCTGAAATTTAAAGTGTGAGAAGGAAGAACCGCAGGATAGGCTGACCGCCGGATTCTGTTAATCTTGCAATGAGATTTTAAAAGGAAAGGTATACAGGAACAAAGCAATACGACGACGAGAATTCAATGTCACGAAATAAATTTTCAAAATAAATTGAATTTAAGAGTATACTAATATTTCGCCACGGCATACAGGGTTTCATCAGAGTAAATGAAACGAACGAGTGAATGGATTTGATATCTGAAATTTGTTTGAATACGGAAAGTCATAGCCTGTTCGAAGGGAAATTAGCTGCAGGGACAGGTCTTTCCTTATATGAAGAGGAGGAAAATAACCGATTATTTAAAATGATAGATATTAACTCGGGCTGGAGGTGCAATTGCCCCCCTCCCCTAGCTAGTATGTTAGAAAAGGCCCGCAGAAAGTGTAGGATGTTTCATATTTGGATGTAATTTCTTTGTGAGTTTGCCCTTTCGTTCTTATTTTGAAATTATACGGAGCCTTTTTAACAAGTTTTGTCTGTTATGAGGATTTGAGTGAATCTATCCTATAGCAATTTAGATTCGAGATTTGATTTTCGAATATATGAGAAATTTGTGTGTTTGTTTTTTAGTTCCATTATCACTGTATTTATAACTAGGAGCCCATTCTCTTCAGGCTCAGATGTTTTGTTTTGTTAATATTCTGGTGCTTGATAGAATCAAGTTTAAGTTTTTCTTCTTCTCAATAGTTTTAAATTTCTCATTTAGCTCTGAATCATCATCTGAAATATGATGTCTTATAAAACTTTTCACCATTTCTTAAAACGAATGCAAATCACTAGCTCAGTTCAGTTCAGTTTCATTATTTAAAATTCCACACATACAATACAATGCAATAAATTACAATACAATTAACATAATTAAAGAATAAAAAAAAGAAAAAAAAGAGAGCAATTAGATAGAAAAAAAATTTAACATATTGAATTGTAAGTGTGAAATTTCTTAAGGAGGAACTCTTTAAGTAGGTAAACTAACAAGAAGAGAGACCCCCTATCAGATCTATAGTTCTAAAATATGGAGCTCATTCAAAGTTAATACTGGGTCAAATCAAATGCACAATGATTAGAAATTTTGTGAACAAAAAGAGATTAATTGATGACCAGTGTTATAAATTTTCTAGAAAATGCGTCTTCAGTTTTGATTTAAAAGTAAGTTTAGAGTTAGCCGTTCTAATATTATCAGGCAATTCATTCCAGAGTTTGGACCCAAGATACCTTATAGAGCTTAAGCCATATCTGACTGTATTTTTTTGAGTTATGTAGATATTGCCCCTTATAGCTTGCCTTATAGAATATTGATGAACATATAGGCTCAAACAAAAGAAATCATGAAAGCAACTGGGAGATATTTTATGAATTGATTCATAGACAAAAGTTAAAAGCTTCAGATGGAAAACATCAGAGAGTTTAAGAACCTTTAAGTCTTTGAAAATGGGAGAAGAAAGGGAGTGAAAAGATTCAAATGAGATAGCTCTGACAACCTTTTTTTGTGATTTAAAGATGGGATCAACATATGTTAAACAAGTACTCCCCCAAACAATTATTCCATATTTCATAAATGATAAGAATAAAGCATTATACAAGCATAACAAAGTGATCAAAGGCACAAAGTTCCTTAACATAAAAAACATTCCACATATTCTGGCTAGTTTTTTTGAAAGTTCATTAAGATGTTGTTTCCAGCTTATATTTTCATCAAGAAGTACTCCCAAAAACTTTATAAATTTCACTCTATTAATGGGCTTTTTACCTACTTTAATAGTAATATCAGATGGAATTTTAATTTGCACAGCCTCCAGCCGAGTTTGTTTCTGCCTAATAAGTTTGTGCAAGCAGAAAGAAGAACAACATTGGGACTTCCTCTCATCTAGGTGCCTTTGAGTAATCTGTGATTTAATCTGCAGCTGTTCCACAGAAATATTTTGCATGTTTTAAGGTTAGATCCTTTCAGCTCTCCCCTATCCAAATGTTTAATCATAGAATCATCAAAAATATAAATACAACTCAACTTGAATAAATACAGTTCAATTCAATCAAAATGAATACAATTCTTTATTTGGTTCTTCTTGTTTGGTTCCCTTCATCCTCTACAACTTCCATGTTGCTTTCTTTTGTGTCATAACTTTGGGACTTGTTTATGAGTTTATTCAACCTGCCAGGCATTTCCTCAGCTGGGAAAAGAGAAAAATCATTTTACCAAACTTTATTGCCAGGCAGACTTTGTACTGTCCCATGATTTATAAATAATGTGGCTTCTGGCCTTTGAACCATTCATGGAAATATACTGCTTGCCTTGTATAATGTGGCCTTGTTCACTTCACTAGTTCTTCTAAATAGAAACTACATTACTGCAAAAATATAACTACTTCACTTAGCCCTTAAGAATTTTAAAATTTATCTTAAGTTTTAAGGAAAATAAAAAAATTCTTTCAACTAAGAAACCTCATGTTTTTGTGTTCTCGGGTAGTTCAAACAACAAAACTTGTTTATTAATTTTGCATAGAATTTATAAAATGTACCACTTAGAAATTCCTTTTCTGTATTTGTCATGTGTTTTTACACTCAATTTTGCCTTTGAGAAAAGTGCTTTTATGACAGACCTATAAGCAGTAATTTTCATTACATCCAGACTATAATTAGATTTGCCCAAGACTTCTCAGACCTGTGTGATCACACCCTGCTGCGCTCCTAGACGAGATAAGGTGTTTGTTTTGTCATGCACCTATTTCTCAATTGTTCTGGGAATTTTGAGTTGCAGCATTAACCATTTAGGAAGTTGCAGCATGTTGAACAATGGAATACCCTTTTAATCATTGACCGAAAGGAGAGAACTACTAGGTTGTTACTATCATAAATACAGGCAGTAATTTTTTCAGCTAAGCTTAATCAATACAATACTGTTTTGAATTCATGTTGCAGTTAAAACAATGGAAGTTTCTTTCCTGAGGTGGGTGACTGACTATAATGCTTGACAGATAATAGCTATGTGATTTAAAACAGAAGTTATGAATCAAATAATGGGGAATTTTTTTCAAGGCAAGTGATCGGCCAAGCATCTGCCAAAATTCATATAGAAATGCCTGTTTCCTAAGGCATACAGGACGGGGGGAAGGGGGCTGTTGGTCTTCAGCCCCCCTATATTTGGGCAACTGATTTTTTTGATCAAAATTCGGGCAGGAGCCTTCTCCAAAAACAAAAGTATAAGAAAAACTACATTTTGAATATGCTTAACAACCTCTGAGAGGAAAAGACCAAGTGGTCATAATCGTGAAAGCTTTTGGAAGTAATGGAATATGGTAAAAATCTATTGGATTAAAAAACACAAAGAAGTGACAAGAACAACAACATCCCAGTTAGTGCTTGAAAAGATTGTCGAAGAAGTAAAAGAAGGTGTCTGTAATACTGTCATAATTGATGAAACATCTGACTTTTATTGGCAGGAATAAATGTCAGTTTGAGTCATGAATGTCATTTTTGCACTGAATGGTTTCCAAGAGGTCTTCAGCAACCGGCTTAAAAACTTATGTAGAAAATTGTTGGCAAATGCTTTGACAGTGTGAAATGAAAAGCAAAGCTGAGGGCTTGGCAAAGCAACTGGAGGACTGTTCTTGGCTGAGCATCTATGTCCACTGCCTTGGACATTAGTTGAATCTTGCAGAAAGTTAGTCAACGAGAAATGGTCTTGGTGTTGTTAAAGGTCTCTACAATTTTATTGAGGCCAACACCAAAAAATATGTAATTTCGCAAAGTTGAACATGAACCGTCATATAGCCAATGGGGACAAAGTGCAACGCACTGGGCTTGCCAGGGGAAGGCAGTGGACAGGACACATCCTTATTTTCTTTGCAAGGATAAAGACCCCAAAACCCTGCTAGAAAGCAAAGCTCTGTTAAATTGTTTCTACAATGTAATGAATGAAGTTTTGGAAGAAATCTATGAGCGATTTACTGACAGTGACTATTCCATTTTATGTGCTCTGGCATAACGGAGGTCCCTGGGGCCCGAAGCAAAATACAACAATAAGACGTCTATTCACGGACAGCAAGAAGATCAAATTAAGTGGTGTAGAGCATTTTAAACACAACAGAAAAAGATAAAAATGAGAATTATTTTCTTGTTAGCTAGGGAGAACTGAGTTTTAGAGCTTTAATTGAGGGACTTTCAAAAGTTTTCAAAAGTTATTTGAGCTTCAGCAAAACTTTAAAGAACTGGACATAAAAGCACCCTGGGCCCCATTTTGGTCTGGGGCCCTTGGATGTTTTCAACCAATGTGTCACAACACACTAGCGTGTCTTGAGGTATTGCCTTGTGTGTCTTGGAAAATTCTCTAATCTCACTATATAAAATTGAAAAAAGTAAACTATCCGCAAATAATGTGCCATGGATTGAAAAGGTTGAAAAACGCTGAATCAGAGATTTACCAACATTTGAGCCCAGGGGCGGATCCAGAAAAAAATTTGTGGGGTGCTCAGTTTTGGGTGGGGCTGGTGCCATGCCACAATGTTTTGCTGGTGCCACACCTTTCAAAATTTATGCTGATTAGAATTTCTTTTGGACAATCAAAGAGCAAAGCGTTGTCAATACTTCTCAATACTACAATTATCTTCTCAACTTCTGGCAATGTGCTATTTGAAATGAAACCAATACATAAAATACAACAAAATGATACTAAGAAACAGTTGTTATTGCTTTTCTCTCGGTTGAAATAAAAACAATAAATATTTGATTTCTTCTTCCATCATTCTGAGAATTTCTGACTACTTTGTGAACTTTTTTAAAATACAGCTACTTCCAATAGATGAAATTAAGTATCATTAATCTTTTTGTCAGTTTATGTACTAATATCTGGTTAATGATTTTGGGAAGATGACAATATTCTGGGCAATCAGTAGGTCTGTAAGGCTGAGCTCTTGGCTACTTAATTGAGGTTAATAGAAGTTTCATAAACACTTAAATACTTTGTGGATTACACCAACAAAAAGTGTTTTTCAAATCGTTTATGGAAAACATTTGCATGGGAGGGGTCTATGGATAAAATAGCCTTTTTTTAAAATTTATATGTATCTTAGATTGAAATCATTTACCATGCCTGGCATCAAAACAGGTAAAGAATAACAGGATGCTCACAAATGCATATTTCCAAACTTTTTGTTGATAATAAGAACCCAATTTAAATCTTATGAAGTTATAAAAAGATGGTTTTATCAGTCCCCCATACTGACCACTTACTAAACCTCTCACTGATTTCTGCTACCAATTACTTTGGAAATACTTATTCAAAACTTCTGGAATTCAAAATAAATACCAAATATTAAAATCATATATTTTAGAATTAAGATGAAGTAAGGTGTAGGACAGAACATACTAGAAAACTTGGATTTTGTAAAAATATCTCAAGTTCAATTGTTTATAAATTTTGTAAGATGTCCATCTTATATTTTCGTATTATGTAAGCTTTACATTGTATGATTTATCAACTTCCAATTAAACATTCTGAAATCCTCTCAAATACCCAAACTTTAAAATGGAAAATCTAAAAACACTGCGCCTGAAACACAATCTACCTTGCTGTCATCGAGTCTGCACAGTGTGACATGTGCACGGAATAGAATTTACAGGCACACATCTTGTTTGCTCTTGCAAAAACAAGATCTTGTCCAAAACTGTTATGCTCTACAGACTGGGCTCTCGTTACAAACGCAGAGGTTTATAATTACAATCGCGGGTGCTCAAGCTTATTCATTTTTTTTTCTTTCTTTTTTTTCTCATCAATGATTCAACATTTGGCGCTGTTTATATACCGAAAGGCCGCCGGTTCACACATGTTTAGAACAAAACTTGAAAAACTTGAATCTTTTTTTTTTCCCAACAATTTTAACTAATCAATCCGGGATATTGCTCAAGCTTATTCATTGATTGGCTATAGTTAGTTTGCGAAAGACTAAAGCACAGACCAGGGGGTGCTGGAAATTTTACAACGATAAAAAGCTGCACATTCTGGTCCGTAAATTAACTGATTTGAAAATTCAGAGAACGGGCTATAAGTGCTCAGACGGGAGAGGGATTAATTTTCTCGGAGGAATACAAATAAAAACCTCTAATTTAGTGTCCGCTTATTCTGAAATTTCAAATTATCACATTCTGAAGGATTTGAGGGGTGCTCAAGCACCCATAGCACCTCCCCCCCTAGATCCGCCCCTGGAGCCAATGAGTCAATAAGTCAATGAGTCACGAGTTGCAATGAGTTGCAATGAGTCGATTGAACTCCTAAAACAATTTCCTATGCTGAATAAAAAGATGACATTCAAATTTGAATGTTTGTTTAAAATCATAAAAATAGGACAAGCACAGCTTGTCAAAAACCAAGAATAAGCAGTGTGATACCAGCCTCAACCAGATCAAATTGGGCCCTCTCACATAATCTTGTGTCGTTAGGAGATCTGGGATCCAGTTTGTTGTTAGTATGTCCAACTAGAAAGGTGCGTGTGTCCGTATAGATATACTATACTGCTATATACAACATGTAGTAACATGTATATATGTTGTCTTTAGAATTCTGAGTCCTTGCTAGCTCATCAGCCAATCCAGCAGAAAGAGCATTTCGGAGCTTATGCGGGCTTATGATCAGTATGCTCCTTTACACCTTGGTGCCCCCTCACCCCTGCGTCCAGGGATGATGCCAGCAAAGATGTATCATTGTATCATAGCGTTGTATAGAAAAGAACAGGATATCATCGTCCATGTGTATCTAGTTTATTCATTTAGCCTTGCTATAGAGGTATATATATGTAATGTTTTACTAAGCATAACCCACCACTCACGATTCATGACTCACGACTCACTGACTCACGATTTAGGCAACCTCGCTGAATCAAGGTGCCCTAAATTCTGTTACTCCACTGACCAATGATTAGGGAATGCAAGCGTGAATTCTAACCCTTCGACAGAGTCATCAGAAAGGTTTGCTCCTTCTACAAAAATATTGATTTTCAGACTTCCTAAAAATGGAACACAAACTGTTCAATAATCACAAGAACAGGCAGGTAAGCAAAAAGGTGCGTGAATTGCTGAAAATTATGTAAATTATATTCACAAAAAGATATCGATAAAATAATCGTTATATTTGGTTGCTGTCATGAAAGAGATTCGCCTATTCTAATGAAAATGTGTGAAAATGCTATAAGTTAACATTAACATAACCACGTTGCATTTTAATCATTTCTTGACTAATATTAGAAGCTCACATGTGTTAAATTTTACTCCTTGAAATTTTGGGCGTTATCATTTTTCCGGCAAAATTTCAGCGCCCCCTCCCCTACCTGAACTCACCCCTTACGCCTATGCTGTTTCCACGTTATTTCTGTGATGCTGGTTAATATCAAGTTTGCCACTTAATTTTTTGAAGAACAAACAGTTCCTTATTGTATATGTTCCTTCCCATTTTGCTATTTTCATGGTACCTTGATATTTTTTCCACTTGTCTAACCATGACAAGAAACAAAATCTTTTCTCTTACCAAACCTTTTATTTTCACCATCTATAAGTGTCCTTCATAAGGTTTAAAGATGGCCTTTCTCTGGGCTCATGTATTACGTGCTGCTTTCATGTTATCTTTCTTGCACAAAAGCTTTATACTGTAAAATTAATTTCATGCTCTTGCCAATTCTCTTCATAAACTAACATGGCATTACTGATGTTGAGAGTACTTCTAATCTCATTCAGGCATTACTTGATTTCATGTGGAAATATTTCTGCTTCTGATGATAAGCCTTTGTGCTTCTGATCACAATCCATGTCCAGCTGGCGGTACTCATCTGTGAAAGGACTACAGAAATGTGTAATATTTTTAACACGTTGTTGTGGATATCAGTCCTTTGGTACTACTCCACGGACTTTGGCCATGTCAAAGCATTTTTTATTTCCTGTGGAATTTTAGGCTTTTGATTGACAACTAGATGACTATCCCAGGGGGAACCTTGACCTTCCGAAAGAACTCTTGCTCCTCAAGTTCACAATAAGTCTTGGAAAATACCTTTCTGAATGTCAAAAGGAAACCTCATAGCATGTTAGGTTCAGGGGGTAACTGACTTTTCTCTCTTAGCGTATCATGCCTTGAAAAACATCTTCAAATTTGGCAATCAACTTTCTAGTGGTTTTTTGTAAAGTTTTCTTGCTGTACCTTATGCTCTCACCATTGTGATTCTGGCAGTCTGTATATCTTGAATTTATGGGGCAATCGATTTGCTGTAACCCAAAACACATTACTTTACTCCTTCCACTGCATTGAATTTGGCAACGGTATGCTTTTTCATTTTTTCAATTAGGGCCCTGTTTAACCGCAAACTGGAATCGCTCTTTTTTTACATACGCTGCAATCTTCATGCTGCATTTCTCTAGGGTCAAAGATCCATCTTTTGCAGGAATCTTTCCAATAAGTTTGTATTTTGAAATACTTACCGATGCACTAGAGGCAGTGAGAAATTTAACTTTCATGTCGGCTTTGAGAAGTGTCCTTTGGACCTCTTATGTCCTTGTTTAAATTTTTCTTCTGGTCATGGAGATGGTTGTTACAAACTTCGTTTGTCATGGTATAACCCCAGCACAAATTTATCATCAGAGCTTGATGTTGGTGACTTGCTTGCAATGTAAACAAAATTAACATGTCCCTTTGATCAGTGGCAAAAATTGTGAGGGTGTGGGGGGCATATTCTCACCGCCATGTCCTAAGGACAAAGCAGATTACAACGTATGTAACTGCTCTGCAGTCATTGTGATGCATGCCTAATCGAGTGACATTTGTCAGCTGTATCATTTTGTTTGAATGCAATTAGAAACTATTTTAATTTTCGTGTCTTCCACTTTTAAGGAAAGATAACAAGGCTTTGATTAATGACAAATGTTTTTTCAAAGCCTCTTTTGTTTCAGGTTAATTGCAGCTTATTACATGGTATTTTGAGATGACATCACAGCTTGAATTTTACGTCAACGGTTAGTAGCCTCTTGTTGATTCTTTAAACAAACTTGCAGTCTTGATTCCTGAAAAGGATTTGTCACAGACAGTTTCTATATCATCTGCGGAACTAGCCATTGTCGTCTATATACGTATTGTCTTTGGATGAAATCCCACAAATCTGAATGCAGTTGGCATAAATGATAAAGAATAAGGGACCAAGACAAGACCCTTGCAGTATTCCATAAGAAATATTCTTACATCTTGATGTCTATTTACTTGGTAGGACCATTTGTGATAGGACAAATACGATGTACACCAAGATTATGTGACTTCCGTGCTTGAATTTATTTGGTTATGATTCAATTAGTTGGAGAATGAGAAATATGCCATATTATAAGATAACTATGTGCCATTTTATGTGTATCGCAACGTTCGATGGCAAAGATGACTGTCTTCTTCCCTCGGTCATAAGCAAACATAAAAGATTAGGCATGAGCACAGATTCTATAAGGCAAATATGACTTGAATTGCTTTTAGAGCTTTTTTGATAAATTGCCTAAAGCAAAGCAAAACAAAGCAAGATAAGCAATCTTCGTGCAAATATTGCAGGGGCCTTATGTTAGAAATAATGTTTTGTATAAAAGAGACAATGGAGAGAAATGATTGTTGAAAGCTTTCAGATCTGGAAACTTCAAATATCTTTTTCTAGTTATACCCTCAATTATTTAAACTTTAATTGATTGATTAGAACTTTTACATTTATAGGCTTTTAAACCTGGAATATTCAAAATTGCGCGAACGATCACTCTAATCTTGTTTCATTAAATATTCATCAAAGCATCAATAACAAAGCTGTTCAATATGTTCTATGTCTTCTGAAGCACCTCTTTAATCGGTGTGGGAAATATGTCCAAAGATATAATAAGAATAGAATACACATGAGCTAGTGTTTTTATATTACTCATATCGCTTTTTACGTAAAAATTGGCTGATAAGGTCGAAACACACGCTCAATAAAATGTACCAACGACAGGAATCAAAATTTCGACATAAGAATCTTTGCTGCAGTCATTGAATCGATTTAATGAATGCCTTTGACACTGTTAGCCATAATGTACTCATAGCTAGACGACCCCCTTTAGAGTTAAAGGGAAAGGGGGGGGGGGACTTGACTAATCAAGAGCATCCTTAACTATTTTGCTATTAACTATTCGTTAGAACGTGATTGAAAAATTGTAACCATATCAGAGAAAAGCATTTAATTGCAAGTGAATACAAGAAATCATTTGTAGATCTTACCTGCTTTGTCAAAACAGACAATCAAACAGAAACATGAAGCGGTCGGTAGCACCCTAATAGATTGGGAAAATTAAATCAACTTTACTATCGTAATTTTCCAAGGAAATCAAATTTTCAAATAAAAATCTAAGAAACATATTTCGTTGTTACCCATAGCTTGGCAGAAATATGTCAGAAAGAAAATACGCAGCATCGGCTCTCCGCTGGATTCTGTAAATCTTGGAATGAGTTGTATAGAAGTAAAAGACATGAACACAGTAAAACAACTACGAGAATCCAATACACGGTTTTTTGAAAGAAAAGTTTAGAGATACAAAGTTTTAGGAGTCCAACCGCAGAGGGGTGTCCGGGGCTTTACCCCGGGAAAATTTCTGCTGACCACACCCTTAAGAATTTGGGAAAGCGCCCTCTTTTGTAAATGCATTTAGAAAAGCTGTAGCTTTTTTACGTGGCAATGGTTGGCTAATCAAACACAATAACTGTCATATGTAGCTTTTTGCGGCTGACCATATTCTACAACTGTCTATTGCCTTCAGAATTCCTCTAACATTCATATTCTGAATTGTGTAAGGCGAAGAAGCGCTACGTGTAAAAACTGATTTTCCAAAGTTGTAAGCAACTATTTAAAGATAATAAGCAGTATAAAAATGTTTTAAACTAAGTCCGTTATCCTTGGAGTAAAATATGAAAAATCCCTGGCAAGCATTTCAGAATCCAGTTTTTTAAAGACGAAAGCGCTTTAGCATTTTAATTTCTAATTCATGGGGAATTTCTAAAGAACATGAAGAACTTTTCTATATAAACGATTTTTTGGCGGTACAGAACTTGAAAATGGCCTTGAAGAAGCAAACATTTTACAACATATTCAAAAAGTTCAGTTATTTATCAATTCACGTGCCAGTGTGATTCTGGCTACGTAGGACGAACAACCCAAAGATTGGGGGATAGGATAAAACAGCATGTTCCTTCCAACATAAAAAACAAAACTGCCCCTTCAAAGAGAACAGCTTCCTCGATCTTGTAGATCTAGAAAATCTGTTAAAACAAATGATTCTGCTATCGGTCAACATCTTTTGGACAACCCAGATTGTGCGAAACTCTATAATGACGACATGTTTCGGATAATTGGCAGAGCCCGGTCGTCCTTCCATCTAACTATTGTGTAGACAGAAGGAGTTCGTTTTCTCTCTTGGACTCCAGTGGTAATTTTTGTTAGGCACACGGCACTGATTGGTCAACTATACCGGTCTTGTGGTTGCGTTTTTCTGATTGGCCTATTTCGATCCACAACTGGGTAAATATTTTTCATCGTTTTCTTTCGGACCCTCATTCTGACTTTTTATGCTCTGGGGAGTGTCAGACGTAAATGCTTTTAGCCAATATGTTGTAAAATGTTTGCTTTTTTCAAAACCACTTTTCTATATATACCACGCCCTTAAAATTAGCTTAAAATTGCAGAATATTTCTAACAGTCGTTTCCCTGTAGTCTTCATTTTGTCCGAAATATCAACTCCCCTCCCCCCCTGAGGTTCTATTTTTATTACAGATTTGTACTACCCCCTCGCTACGCTAATGCTCCAGACCCCTTTTTGAAGGTAGAGGTATGAATATTGTTAATAAGCATGTTCAATTACCATGCTCATCGGTAATAAAATTAAGGCCTATATATAGCACTCCATTTTAAAGAGAATTTTCGAAATAGATTCATAATGTAATATCAATTTGCAGAAAAAGAAAGTAGATTATAACTCAACTTTGAAGCAAAATTATGAAATACACTATAATAAAGAACCGAATTCTAGAGCATGAGACCAGATGACAACCATTGCGAGTTCTTGGTTAAATAGAATCACAAAAAACCAAAATCAAATATATAGAATCTCGAAAAATAAAATTGTGTTTGCGGAGCGACATTCAATAGCAATATTTTATATAATGATTTAATAAACTTAAATATCGATTTTAATTAGACAGACGAAACTGACGATAAAGCACAGGGCTGCCAAGGCCGGGGCTTTACAAAGCCATGACACAGCCTCTTTAAGCAACAAACGCATTCTAAGGAGAGTTAAAACCATGCTTCATTCATCATATGAATATATTTTCTCTGAAAAAATAGGGACTGGAAATCACTTTGAAGTAGATAAAGACTAAATGTCCGAAAATTGCTTTCAGTTCTTTACATAATATTTTTGTTTTAACTTTTTATTTAGTTTTTATTAAGTTTGTATGTATGACTGCATCAATGTCGATTCATTGGAATGTTGCAATAAATCTGAATATTTGTTGAGTATAATGCGCCTATCACATGTATAGGGGAAGGATTGTAATAGAAATATGAATTATACATGGAAAAAAGTTTTGCACCATCAAAAATCTTCAAAGTCCATTAGATCAGGAGTTATACAATTAAGTATGATCAAAAGTACATGCTCCCTAAGTGGAGTGAACATTGTGATGTCTGCAACAAAGAAAATTATCACTATGTGCAATCTGTCATGTTCGGAAAATAAATGTTTTTGCCCTTTTAGTCCGTTTTTGCCCACCCTGTTCAAACCTGCGTCTGGCGGCCCTGAAGCAAGGTATAAATAGCAATTGCACAGCAACTTGAGAAGTAAACGTTAAATTGTCTCCAATTTAGTTGTCGGTCTGTTTTGATACAACTGTAGAATATAAATTCGAAACTGGTGACATGATTTGTTTTTAGCTCTGGATTTTTAATGTTCTCTGATTTAAGAGTTTAAACAGGCTCCTGCTTTGACATTATCAATCTTGTATATGTGAGTTCTTCGTGTATATGTGACTCAAAAACGATTTTTACATTTTGAAACGATATTACGTCTATTAAGTTTGTAAAAATTATTTTCCTTAGCCTAGAATGTATCTATATATCTATAGTTTCTTATCCCAATAAGTCTTTATTTGATTTGAGCGTCATCTTTAATATACTTTTGTGTTCCAGCATTGAAACTTTTGTTTGTTATTTTTGGCAAACTTTTTTCCAGAATTTTTTGTTCATTAAAGTAAAACTTTAGAAATGCACAGATTTTTCTCTAGAACTGCACAGAAAACTTTTAGAACTGCACATTTTGTGTAGAGGTGCACGTTAAAAGAACCCTGATCCAAAATATAGTGGAATGTATTTTTAAAATGAAATAAAGGGACTGAAAATCCTATATCCCACTCCGGGTTAACTGTGTTTCATCAAATTGAGCATCGTGAGTATTAATATCACACCTAGGGTTGTTGAGAGTCAAAGGCCTGATTGATTTTGTGACAGCTTTGGCAGTATATTCCTCCTTGGACTACTTATATCCATGCCACATAATTTGTCCAATGCTTGAAGTTGGACCTTACATTTGCTCAGCAAAAACTTTTGCCATTAAGCCCCTTTCTTTTTGCATATTTTCGATTCTTGAATGTAAGCCCTTGAAGTTTATCTCTTTGATGTAATTAGGCTAGTTATGTTTTTAAACAGTGTAAAATTCTAAATAAGTTAATTTTAATTTTCAGGGCAGAAAATCGTGGAGAAAAAACCTGACCCAGAATGGACTCTGTTGTTCTATTTACGAGAAAAACTAAGCTTATGTGGAACAAAACTGGGATGTGGGGAGGGTGGCTGTGGTGCTTGCACTGTGATGGTGTCGATGTACGAGAAGGAGACGAAGACGATTAAGCACATGTCGGTGAACGCTTGCCTTGCTCCTGTTTGTGCGATGCATGGCCTAGCTGTTACTACAGTTGAAGGCATCGGTAGCACGAAAACAAAACTTCATGCAATACAAGAAAGAATGTCGAAGATGCATGCCTCACAGTGTGGATTTTGTACGCCAGGTGAGTAGCACTATATGGACTCAGTCATGCAATCATTGAGAAAGGTTAGATAACATTTCTCTACTTGAAATTTTTTCACTTCTCTGGGAAGAAATGTGCAGACAACATTAGACCTCACCAATGAGGTGAATAGAATACGCTAGAAGCAGTTTTCAGTGCAAGAAGTAAAGCCGGAGAAATCGTATTTGCACGGCAACAACGAAGAGGTGCTGAAAAACTCTTGTATGAAACATGCGATATTAGGCAAAGAATTTGAGCGAAAATTCAGTTCGTGACGTAAATAATTGGATTTTAAGGAAAACGGAAAGGAATAGCATATTTCTGGACATTAACAGTCATGGTACCGATCGTTGTTTTGGAGGATCTATAGTCTTTTTTTGCAGTCCCAAAATATTTTATAAACAAAACGAGTTTATTGATCTGATGGCGAATACTTGGTTTGTTCTTATTTTTGACTTGTCTTTGTAATTTTTTGTCGTATCTTCGCAATCAAACAGTCAATCTTTTGAAGCAGATATTTTTGACGAGGTGTTTCAAGTGGTTACCTTGCAAGGCATTGGTCATGAAACTAGAAGGAATCTAGCAAGCACCAGAGAATTAAATCACCCAATTTAATGGATTGTTATAAAAGTTATAGATATTAGAAAGGCGTTACTAAGTTTTATGAATTGTATCTGGTACAAAATTGACCGCCATCAGGATATGACGTCATCTAAAAGTTAATACAATTTTATGCAAATGGCGTTGAATTTTGCTGCTACTGAACGCCTTCTACTTGACTTTGGAGGTTTTTTCATTCTTTGTTCGCATCATGAGAATCCTTTTTTTCCAATAATAATTTTCTCTCCTTCAAACCACCGCTGAGGTAAAGGGTCACGGCCATTTGTTGAATAACTTCTTCGCGATTATTACTTTTTCTCTCTCCAATTGATAAGGTGTCTAAAATGAAAGAGAAAGGCGCCTACTCCCAATTTTTTGCCTGATTGTAGACCTTAGGCAAAGGTTAGCGCACCCTGTCGATCCCTGTCCGGGATAACTGCTTCCATACATCCAGCAGGTCTACCTTTTTAATCTGGTCTAGCAAGTCTGGAAGTCAACTTAGCTGCAGCTCTTGTAATTGGCAGCTCTTTTGTGTGGCAGCTGTTTGTTGTTGGCAACTCTTGCGATTGGAAGCTCTTGTGCTTGAAAACTTTTGTGATTTACAGTTCTTGCAATAGACAGCTCTTGTGATTGACAGCTGTTGTGATTGGCAGCTCTTGTGTGTGGCAGCTGTTTGTGATTGGCAACTCTTGCGATTGGAAGCTCTTGTGCTTGAAAGCTTTTGTGATTCGCAGCTCTTGCAAAAGACAGCTCTTGTGATCGACAGCTCTTGTGATTGGCAGCTCTTGTGTGTGGCAGCTCTTATGATAGCGGCTCCAGCTCTTGTGTTTGAGAGTTCCTGTGATTGGCAGCTCTTATGATAGACAGCTCTTGTATGTAGCAGCTCTTTTGTGTAGCAGCTCCTGTGTGTGACAGCTTTTGTGATTATCTGCTCTTGCGATTGGCAGCTCTTGTGTGTGGCAGCTCTTGTAATTAGCAACTCTTGTGATTGCAAGCTCTTGTAATTGGAAGCTCTTGCAATTGGCGGCTCTTGTAAATGGCAGCTCCTATGTGTAGCAGCTCTTTTGTGTAGCAGCTTTTGTGATTGGCAGTTCTTGTGGTTGGCGGCACTTGCGATTGGCAGCTCTTATGACTGGTTGCTCTTGTGTGTGTTAGCTTTTGTTTGTTGGAGCTCTTCCTGTCAACTCGACGACTGTTCTGGTGATAATGCAACTCCTGTGTGTGACAGCTTTTGTGATTGGCAGCCTGACAAGATTTTTGGGATGAATTTAAATTTTCTTTTTTGCTATTGGATTATTTAAATCTGGTTGTATAACAATAGCTACACGCTTTGTAAAACACTTGCTCTTATGAACTAGATATGTCACTCTTAGCTAGGATTAGAAGTAGATTAGAAGGATATTCGCATATATGATGATGTTTCTTCGCACGAGCTTCCATTTGGTTATCTACATTTTGTTGCATGGTTGCATACCTTGCAACATGATTATTGAATTTCAGAATTGCTCTATTTGGTGTTTAGAGCTGGACGGTTCTAGGTTACTTGAGATTTCAGAATTATTTATTTGCTGCCTTTGAAAAAGTCCTCTGATCACTCAATATCGATCATTGATTAAAAAACTTATTTTGCTTAGTTTTGTAGAGATGGTTTGGGTCGCTGCATTCGATGAGGTAACTTGCCAATCATTTTCGTTAGTCAAACACTCCATAGACAAGACGGAAATGGCGTGAAGTGCCACGTTGGGGCGGGGAAATTTCGATTACAAGTTTCGAGTTATTTATCAACTTGGGATGTTGAATTGAGATGGTTAAGGGTGATTTGTCTCTGTTTTTTAGGGGAAAATGGGGGGTTGAATCGGGAGAAGTTCCTGTTTATCCTCTGCGAAGGAGAAACGTGGCTGGAAAGACGTTTTTAACAAAATAAATCTGGTCTAAGCAATGGAATATGACGGACTGTTTATTTTTTTTGGTAGAAATACGTTTAGAAAAATACGAAAATAGAAAAATAAGCTTTAATTTATCACCTGACGTGTAATTACCCCCTTGTCCTTTTTTGGATATCTTATTAAAAATGGGTGAAGAAAAATCATTCTTTGACATCGGCAATTCATTTTAGCATGCATTTGACTATCAAAACTTTAAGAAGGGACTATCGTGGTACTCAAACTATAAAAAGGGCCTTTTATCGTTTTTGTCAACCTTTATTGATAGTATCAATTTTTGGTCTTAAAAGAGTATTACTATGCTAATACAGTTAGGATAAACGTGGCATTTTATTGAGGAAATCAAGAGCTAGAGCTACAAGTATGAATGATAGGTAGAAACAGCACAAACGACAAAAAATCCACGACAAATGAATGCATATTAACAAACCAAAATTTAGCAACAAATTATAATTTTGATAGGACTTAATTGACTTAATTGCATTACTTGAATTGTGAGGTAAAAGCTTGTCTTTTAAAGTCAGCGACTGAAATAGCTTGCGTTTTTCTTTAGCATTTAGTGGACGGATCATTGTAGAATGAAACTCATCTGCGACATAGTGACCAAAATATATAGTAGACGTCTGGTCTACTACACATTTTGCTGAACCTAACGTAAATTCAAGGCCAATTGAAAAATCACATATTTTGTCAAAAGCAATGTGAAGCGTTCCAAACAAGGACACCAAAAGGGAATACTGTTCTCTAGCTCTTCAGCTGGTCTTCTTAGCTATTCTGATTAAGGAAGCAAGAGTTGTTGTTATAAAAATATTATATATGGCACCATTCACATGTTGCTGTACTCATTTTTATGAAGTACTTAGAGGACGATAGAGAATGAGGAAATAAGAAAAGTCGAAGTATCTTGCTTAATAGCATCTTTTTTAGCTCTTCTCTTTTAAAGGGGGCGATTTTAAAAAAGATTCGATAAGCGTTTTTTTATTGTCCTCAATGCATTTTCTTTTTAGTCTACTAGCTATTTCAGATTTGTTTTGAGAGATTCAAAAAACCCTTTAACAAAATCAGTGTTACTTTAGCTTTCCGTAAATAGAAGCCTATTTCTACCATTAGAAATTTGATAATCATTTCTGTAAGGTTTTCACGATGCGTATTGTCTTAAATTTTCTCGTGATAGATCCCATAAATTATGAAATGGCAATTTGAATGCAAAATTCTTATTCCTTAACTTTTTTTACGCGTGTTTTTAAAATATAAAAATTTTCCTTCCGGAAATATCATAACCACCAACTATGTCACAAATTTGAAATGGCCCAATGATTTTTAATTAAAACTTCTTTCTCCCTACCACGTGGCACATTGAGACGCAACGTCCTAGGATAGAACACTGTTGTCTTGCTAACAATCTATGTGACTTCAAAGGCCATCAAAACGTCATTGCCTTGTTCATTGTCCTTCAGGTGTAAAATCTGCATGCCATGTTTTGATTGGTCCGTTTCCTTTTCAGGAATTGTGATGTCCATGTACACCCTTCTGCGGAATACACCAAAACCATGTATGGCTGATGTTGAGGAGTATTTCAAGGGGAATCTCTGTCGTTGCACTGGCTACCGACCGATTCTCGAGGCGATGAAAACCTTTTGTATTGCAGAGACGAAAGAAAGGCCAAATGAAAATGAAGAGTGTGACGGCGGAGAAAGCAGCATGGTAAACAAGATGAATGAATTCACGATTGGCTTCTCTGAAAACTGTGAAGGTACAAATGGCGAAATTGGCAATTCTTTAGAGAAACAATCGCCAAATGCTGATATTGATCATTTGAAAGAAGCACAATTGGCAGCAATGGAAAATACCAAGGTGCAGATGAATGGGTTTCCTGATATGCAGGACAACAGAAACAGTTGTTGTGGAGCAGGTGAGAATTGTTGCAAAAAGTCGACAGCTCCTGACAAATGTACCGGCATTAAATTGAAGGAATCTCTTGAAGTACCTGATGTCACTTCTCTCAAATTTATTCCATACGACCCAAGTCAAGAGCCAATTTTCCCACCCAGTCTGCTCCTTTCCAATGGAATAAAATCAGAGAGTTTGCTTTTCCAAGGCGAAAGAGTCACCTGGTACAGACCAACAACTCTAAATGAACTATTGTCATTGAAGGAGCAGTTTCCATACGCAAAGATCGTTGTTGGCAATACTGAAGTAGGACTTGAGACCAAGTTCAAGCACCTTGAATATCCTGTTTTGATACACCCAAGTCACATTAAGGAGTTGAAAGAAATATCTATCCTGGAAAATGGTGTGACATTTGGGGCTTCAGTGACTCTTGTTGAAATGGAAACTGTCTGTCGAAGAATGATCGAAAAACTACCGGCCTACAAAACCAGAGTGTTCAGTGCTTTTGTTGAAATGATGCAATGGTTTTCAGGAAAACAAATACGATACGTCGCAGCAGTAGGTGGAAATATCATGACTGGCAGCCCAATATCTGACCTTGTTCCAATTTTTATGGCCTCTAAATGCCGACTTGATGTAGCATGCAAGAATGAACAAAGGTCGCTGGAAATGAATGAAAAGTTTTACGTTGGCTATCGAAAGACGTGCCTCAAAACAGAAGAAGTATTAGTATCCATCACTCTACCATTCACTGAAACCAACGAATATTTTCAAGCTTATAAACAAGCAAAAAGACGCGATGACGATATTGCAATTGTAAATGCAGCTTTCAGAATGGTAGTGGAAGGAGCTTTGGTTAAGGACGCTACATTCTGTTATGGAGGACTTGCACCTACTTCAAAATTGGCACTTAAAACTATGGAGCTTCTTCAAGGGAAACAATTAGGAGACGGAACTCTTGAAGCAACATTGCGGGCAATTTGTTCTGAGTTCAATTTGCCTCCAAATGCTCCAGGGGGTATGGTACGTTACAGAAGATCATTGGCAATGAGCTTGTTTTTCAAGTTTTTCCTTCACGTTGCAGAAGAGATAAATGTTTCGACGTCTGGTCTATTGAAACATTGCTCCAGTGCGACAAAGAAGTTCCACAAAGGTGTAATTAAAAGCCATCAGTTCTTTAAACTGTCTGATGGGGAGAAAAAGGTAGTCGGAAAGCCGATACCACACAAATCAGGTGATCTGCACACGACAGGAGAAGCCGTGTATGTAGACGATATGGCCAAGACGAAAGGCGAGCTTGAATTGGTGTTTGTCACAAGCACAAAACCCCACGCCAAGATCCTGGACATAGACCCATCTGAAGCATTGCTTATTGATGGGGTTGTTGATTTTGTGAGCCACAAAGATTTATCCCCAGAACGAAATTTAACTGGAATTCCTGATTTTTCAAATGATGAAGAATTGTTTGCATCCAAAGTCGTGCACTGTGTTGGGCAAGTGATTGGTGCTGTTGTTGCAACTGACAAAAACATTGCAAGAAGAGCTGCAAACAAGGTAAAAGTTTCTTATGAAGAACTGCCTGCAATCGTCACAATAGAACAGGCAATTGCGGCTAATTCGTATTATGGTGACTTGATTGAGTTGAAGCGTGGAAACGTACAAGAGGAATTTGATAAATGCGACCACATCATAGAAGGGACAATGAGAACTGGGGCGCAGGAGCATTTTTATTTTGAGACCCAAACATGCATTGCATTTCCTTTGAATGAGAATGAAGAAATCATAATTTATTCTGCCACCCAGTCCCCGTCTGATACGCAGAAAGTCGTTTCGAAGGCACTTGGTGTGGATTACAACCGCATCGTTTGCAAGACCAAAAGACTCGGAGGTGGTTTTGGTGGCAAGGAGACGAAGGCATCTATCATAGCTGCTGCTGTTGCTGTTGTTGCTTGTAAGGTGAGACTTTTCTATCAATATTTCTTTGATGCTATAGAATCAGACACCGAGAAGCTCATTGTTTTATCTCAGCCATAGTAATTAGACTTTGGAGCACAATCTCATTAAGAATTCCACTTTTAAGATGTGAGAAATCTTGTAAGAGTGTCAGGTTTCCACTTGCTTAAAGCTACATATCAGGATTAGTAATGAAGAACTCAGTTAACTGAATCAAGATATGACATGTCAAGAAATGACCCTGCATCCATTTAGCATATTATCTTCTCTTGGTACATAATGACTTTTCCTTGCAAACAAAGGCCCTGTTGAAACGATATAGAATTCATTTCGCATCGGATCGCTTTTCATATCGGATAGGCCTTCTGTTCACACGATGACGCTTGAATCCGTATCGTTTTTGCGGAGTCAAACCATTTCGCTGTGAATGTGGAATGGAATCATATCGGATCGCTTTTGAGCTCGTGTGAACGCATGAATCCGATACAGTTTCGCTCCGGGACCTCTGTTTCGAAAAAGCAGCTTCGTTTTCGGGGTTTTTGAAAACAGTTTATTACTCTTTTCAAGACACAAAATCACGATGGAACGCAGTTAAACAATAAATATTTTCCTTGCGATGATGATGGGCTTCACAAGATTAATGCAAAGGAAAATTAGATTTTTTGAAAATTGATTTCGAAATACTTCTTCTTCAAAACAAAACAGCTTATCAGTTCCGTGACGTCAGAGAACGGATTCGATCAGAAAAAGAGCAAAACAACAAACATTATTCCACGTTGCTATGCAACTGCTTCAAGACAATGGATTTTTTGGAGCAGTGTTGGAGCGTATCGTCACCGTGTGAACAGGAGTGAATCCCATAGGAAATGAATCCGGTATCGTGTGAACAGAGCTTGATATTCGTATCGGATTAGGTCAGTGAATCCGATATGAAATGAATCCGGTATCGTGTGAACAGGGCCTTAGACGTTTTTCCGTGTCACAATGAACATTTTTCTTCACTTTTTTTAGTTATTTCTTGTTTAATGGCAATTAGTCTCGTAATTAATTCACTAACCATTTGCACGTGACTTTAGTTGTTGATCAGATAACTGACCTTATTTTGAACCAGATTCTTTTGTTGTTACACCTTCCCAGCCGTTCATATTGAAATAGTCAAAACTCCTGCAGTATCGTTATTTGCAAGATTTATATTGCTAGTATCTTTGCTATTTTGCCATCATAAGTATATCTTATTACCTGCTCACAAATTCACTGTAATATCTATAAATCTCCTCTTTTCCAGATTGGTAAACCAGTGCGAATCATGCTTGACAGAGACGAGGATATGATCATGACGGGGGGTCGCCATCCATTTTTGAGCAAATACAAAATTGGTTTCAACAAGGATGGCCACATTATAGCAGCAAACACAGATCTGTATTCAAACGCTGGCTGGAGCGTCGATCTGTCTTTAGCGGTACTTCAAAGAGCTGTAATGAATTGCGAAAATTCTTATTTTATTCCGTGTTGGAGGTCCTCTGGGCGCTGTTGTAGGACAAACCTCGCTTCCAACACTGCTTTCCGTGGATTCGGGGCTGTGCAAGGTATGTGACACTTGATCAATAATCCAATGACAACTCTCCGCTTGCTTAACCTAAATTACTCTACTTTGCCCTTTTTCAAGTTTTGTAGAGGGTCAATCAAATTCCATTAGTCAAATATCTGTCCAGTCCTTGATATTAGGGTAGAGGCCCTAAAATCGTTGGCCTATCTCTTACTTGCGCCTTGTAAGATAATAGGTATAATTAGATTTGAGAATGAAAGCAAAACAGTTTCATCAGGAAGTAGACAAAGCAAAAAAGAATATTAAAACTTTTTACTGATAATTTTGTTTGGAAAATTGTTTTCAAAAGTGGAGAAAATGATTTTCTTTGAGCAATGATAAAAACACAAGATATAGAAAGGGTAAACATGGTTTTTTCGCCAGGCAGGTCATTCGTAAGATGAAATTGCAAAACAACTGGTCAGCATGCAATATTCTTTCTATTGGATTAGCAGGTTATATAAAACACGGTTCACTGCTGAACAAATTGAGAACAAATTCAAGTCAAATATAAAAAGAAGTAACAGGGGTGCAAAGAAGATATCCTTTTCAATCTCAAAGGAGTTAAAATAAGAAATAACTATAAAGTTTTGTGACCAAATCGATTAAAAATCGAAGTCAGGCAAATAACCGCACTCACCGGCGAAACAGAATGAAATTCGAGTTCAGGTCTGGTTTAAAAAATGATTCTGGAGTCTTTTAAGTCTTGATAATTGGAAATAACTAATCGTGGATGCACTCCTGTCTTATGTGTTATATAATTTTAAGCAATGTTTAAAGGGCCTCTCCAGCCAAAGAAAATAATTTTTTTTATTGACGAAAAAGTTAGCATCTGGTGCGTGTATTATGGGAAAGTCGTTGTTTTTGCGAAATTCTAATTAGTTTAGAAGTTATAAGCCTTTAAAGTTGCACCTTTCCGAGAAAAAAACGACAAAAGCCGAATCAGTTTTGTAACATTCTGACGTCACAATGTGCGGCTCTCGTTCGCCATGAATTTCGTATATCTTCCACCGAATCGTGAAGAAGTCATGGTGACGCGTTGATAACTGCATCTAAATCTACAGCAGGAGCTTTTTAGGGTCGAAAAATATTAAATGTTTACAATCATTCTAAGTCTGCGGGTCGGAATGTGTCCATGCTGTGTCACGACTTTTTGATCACCTGTGTAGGCCCATAAAGCTATGGCTTCCTGTTCCAGCTCTTCCCTCGCGTATAATTAATCGAAATTGACACTTCAGTTGTTTTCCAGAAACGATGAACAACTAAAGGCTTCAGAATTGATATCTGAAATGCTCAAACTAAAAGCCGGTGGAACAGAACTGAGAGTACCAACAATTGCAGTGTTCAATTTGCGAATCGCCGTCGTTCGATTCGGTTTGAGGCGAGACTAACGAAATACACCGTGATGTCAAAATTGCGTCACAGTGTCACCAAACCCAAAACTTTTTGTCGGTTAATTCAATTCAATTATCGAAATGCAAGAGCTTATATCTCATAAACTGTAAAAAATATCGAAAAACAAATAACGAATTCGTGATCAGTAGGTTCAACTCCTTTAGATTCGCCAATAAAATGCAAGTGCAAAATTTGGCTGGAGAGTTCCTTTAAATTATATCTTGTCAAAAACTTATCCTTGCAAAGAAGAACATTTTTGCAAAATATTTTTGTTTTCAACAGGGATGATGATGGCTGAAACATGGATTAATGAAATTGCAACATTTTTGGAGAGAGACCCGGCAGAAATCAGAGAGAAGAACATGTACCAAGGTGGAGAGCTGACCCACTATAAACAGGTTATGGAACCTGGGACCAGAAGGTGCTGGGACAAATGCATTGAGAAGAGTAATTATTACAAACGCAGACAAGAGGTGGAAATATTTAACGATGGAAGCAGATGGAAAAAGCGTGGCGTTGCCATTGTCCCTGTGACATATGGCATAGGCATCGAAGTTCCGCATTTTAATCGCGGCGGTAAACCCCTAAATAGAAAATTTGTTGAGATACTATAATTATATTATTGACAATACTCTTTCATTTTCCAACTTATCAATAGCTATAGAGAGTATTCTTCAGAACAGAGGTTTATTGAAAGAAAGGAAAATATGTGAGAGCTATTACTTGGGGGTTGTTGATTGAAGTAGGCCTAAGCATGAAGTTTATGAACAAATGCTACAGACTTCAAAAAGTTTTTGCGATATCTGGAGTACCTTGCTGTAAAGTAGTTTGTACAGCAAATTTCAACTTTGATCGCCAATTGTGATGAGAAGACTCTCTTTGTTAAGCCTCCACATCTATATGAAATATCATAATATCAAATATATTCATTTCAAATATCTCGGCATTGAAATTTACAGCTCTTTAAACCTCAATTCCCATTTTGAAAAATGTTTCAAACGCGCATCAAGCAGGCGGAGGCTGCTAGGAAAGCTCGGAGATTGTCTTGATCTGACTTCTGCGAAGGCGATTTATCACTCACTGATTCTGCCTACCTTCACATACTCTGGAACATTACAGCTGCTTTTACTTGACACTCAATATAAACGATTAGCATCATTCCATGACCGCTCATTAAGAACAATACAAAGGGATTCCAACACTTGCGAAAAAATTCAGTCAGTGACAAATGGTAATAAAATCCGTGCATGTAGGCTTGTACGCAAATGTATCGACAAAGATGTTTGTGATACTTGTCAAGGTTACTTTGAAATGAATGATCACAAAATGCGAACAAGCAACAATCAATGTATGGTAAAGCTTCTAAAAATAAACACTGAATATGCACGGAAATCATTTTATTTCATGGGAACAAAAACCTATAATGAACTGTCTGTTAGTATTCACAAAACTGAATCATTCAACACCTATGAGCAGCTTCTTAAGCAACATTTTACCTAACCATACTTATTTCAAATTTGTAATATATGCTGTTAGAACAATTGCCGTAAATTATTTATAATCTTTAAATATTTCTATCCCTTCTTTAATAGGGTTTCAGTAATTTTACTTTCCTTTACGTTCATCAGGACACACATTGTTAACAGCAGAAACGTTGAAGTGTTAATCCTGTATAAAAATAGGGGCGATTGAATTGTCATATGGCAGGACAAAACTGAATTTACAATCAAGACCTAATTACAGCAAGTTCTATTTTCATACTTAGCAAAAAATGCACCCTTTCCTTTAATGACTTAAAATTATTCTGTAGGTGCCCTTGTGCATATATACTTTGATGGAAGCGTACTGGTTTCACACGGAGGAGTCGAAATGGGTCAGGGATTGCATACGAAGATGATTCAAGTGGCAAGCACTGTCCTTGAGATACCTCACAACAAGATTTTCATCTCGCATACTGCAACAGACAAAGTGCCCAACACGATTGCAACCTCTGCAAGTCACAGCTCTGATTTGCAAGGAATGGCTGTAATGGACGCTTGTCAGAAACTGATGAAGCGTTTAGAACCGTACCGACAGGAAGAGGAGTCATGGAACGACATTGTGAAGAAGGCCTACTACGACAGAGTGTGTTTATCAGCGACTGGTTACTACAAAACGCCAGACATTGGGTACGACATCAAGACGAACATTGGACGAGCGTATAATTATTACACCTTTGGAGTTGGATGCTCTGTTGTGGAAATCGATTGCTTGACAGGTTTGCCATTCCATGTTTGTTTTGCAAAAATTTAATTTTCTTATTTTTTTTTACATTCAGTTCATAGTTGAAGTGTTATTTTGATCTTAAATTCTTATAAATGATACTTAGTCATGTGCAGGCTTGATTATTTGAAAAAACTGCATGTTTCATATATATATGTAATTGATACATTAAATTTGATTCTTTTGAAGTGCATATGACACGAACATTTTTATTTGCCCTCTAGACGTAATCAAGTATACTGATCACGAAAATCGCCATACAATTTTCGGAAAACAAACACTTTCGTAATCACAGCTATTTCAAAGTCGATTTTTTGCTTCAAATTCTGCCACAAGGGATTGAGTCGAGTTTGACAGGAGGTGACGTAAAGTGGTTATGTTAGTGTCATTAGGCCAGGGAAACCACAATTAGAAAATGTGCGAAAATTATGTGGAAGTGCAAAAATTAGTTCTAAAAGTATTGTTTCTCTATTATTAAGAATTTTTGCGACATCCACCATGAATTTTTCGCTGGTTTGCCCCACCTGAGCGATTTGAATTACAGCTATAGAACAATAGGAATCAAATATAAAAATATAAAATGAATGGTTTATTTGTCTTTCTTATCATGCAATGCCCCAATCGCAAACATCCAGCAACAACGTTGAAAAATAGACACTGCCGACTTCCTTCCGTAGGTAGAAAGTAGGTTTTTTCAAAATTCGCTGGGAATTGTGGGTAGAAAATTGAGTAGCTGCGTAGGTTGTGCGTAGGTATAAATTTGTAAGGTGGTAGGTTATATTGTGCGTGGCAGCACTGGTTAGTGAAAATTTAGATTGCTTACTGACAAGAAACAATACATGCGACTCTTTGAACATGTCTCACGGCAAATAATCAAGCGCGAGGGCGTCAGTTTTTGAAGAGAGTGAAGGGGAATAGCTTGTAGGTGCTGCTGATAGGCTTTTTGCCTTGCAAGAACGAACCAGTCGTTTCTTCTGCGGATAATACAGACGCGGAATCAGGTGAAGCTGGCATGGCTCGAAGCCTTCGTGACCGGGCAGAGGACAAAGATGGAATACAACAATCCCAACTGCGTGATCGATGGTGAAGGATAGATACGCTGAATCAATGGTGAGTGAAATTAGCTGTCATTGTGTTTTTTAGTGTTATAAATTTAGTATTCTCTGTACATCGCTGCTGTTTTTAGGCCGCCATTGCCTGATCCTATTGCGTTGTATGGGCGAATGAAGAAGAAAAACAATTCTGTTTGGCACCTTCAGTTCTTGGAATAAATCAATTTAGTATTATATTTTCATTAAATCTGGTGGAAATACCAAAATAAGTATACCATATACATATAATATACACATGTTATGTTTTGATCATGCCTATTCAAAAGAATGTAAGAGAAACTCAAATCAACCATTATATTAAGTCATACAATGTATTTGTTCAATAGGTATCTTTGTGCAATGGCATACAGTCTTGATGTCTGTCAGAGACAAATGTAGAAACATCAATTCCAGAACTCCTGAGAGATTCTCAAAGCAACTCCATCTATGCAGAGCTTCTGTTTACACTGCTTGCCTGTGAGGAGTGAGGAACAAAAATTTTAATATTTACATTCAACAACAAAATATAATAACCAAGGCTGATAAGACAATTATTTTTGTTATGCAGAAACAATTTTAAAACTTTAAGTAGGTTAAAAGGTTGATTTAGTTGAAAGTTTTTATATCATGATTTGTTACTTAATGACTTTGTTTATTGTTAATCGATTCTCACTAGTATTTTGCATCTTTAATTAATAGAGTTTCATTCAAATATTTCTTGAATTTCCAATCCCCTGCTTTTTTCTAACCTCATCTTTGGGTTTCTAATAGTATATGGGTGGGTCTGTGTCAATTTTTGAATTCCCAAATTTTCAGAAATTCAGGATCTCTGATTGAGAATTAAAACCGTCAAATTACTTTCTATTATCAACGCTGACATGGACCCCACACACAGAGACAAGGAGTTCCGTTTTCAAGAAAGTGAGTGTCCCCTGTGTTGTTGAGTCATTACCAATAACGTATCTCAGCTTGCTGTTACCATGCAATTTTCATTCTTGCTTAGTTCTTCGTCTTGTTTTGGTTTGTTTTGTTTTGGTAGAGCAACACCTTGAAAAATTGTTTGTTGTTTTCGGTGTCAAAACCAGGAAGAGAGAAAAATGTACGCGAAAAATTAGTCGGAGGAAAGTGTCCATGAGTCGATATCTTTACGATGCATTTTTAATAAGTAATACCAAGCGGCGAACTTCAGTCGGGGCAGGTTTTCCCGGATGGCAGCCAAGCACAACAGTATCTCCTTCAAAGGGGTACTATCGTTCCCTAGAGTCAAGTACACTGGTTACCATAACGCACTTACCTGTTTTATAGTACAAGTTTTCTAATTTCGTTGTCTAAACTACGCCTAAATGCATACACCAATTCGACTTACGGCCTCATTTTGAAAAATTCTTCGAATTCTTTTGTACAAAATTTTTGACCTCAGATTCGGATTGACAGCAATGATTTTAGTCTACTTGTAAGTTTTCATTATGATATTGCTCACGATATTGATTTTATGATGACATAAAGATAAAAACTTTATAAGGGATTTGACCGTGATTGGCAACTAGGGGGGGGGGGGGGGTAAAGTTTCCCCCCTAAACGACTTTTTGCGGTCAAATCCCTTACAGGTTACAACTTCAACTTCATTTCTCCGTAAAATCTAAAATACAAGCTCGAACAATATGAAAAATGGTATCCCGCCTAAAATTATGACGATAAAACCAAATCTGAGCTTAAAAAAGTCGTAAAATCAAGTTTGGAGAAATTTCCAAAACGAGGTCGTGAGTCGAATTGGTGTATTGGCGTGAGATCATTATGCTGGAACGGTTTTTGTCAGCGCAGGTCGTTTGGGGTCGTTAGGCACGCATCGATTTCTTCTTCTTGCAAAGTTTGATACGTAGTGGAATCCAAAGATCTGGGTTTTGTAAACTTACTGTGTCATAGCATTCCCTGCCGCTTATCAAGAAACTGTAAATCGGCGAAACGCATTTTAATAAAGCAACCGAATAAGAATAATTATTCATGTTCAGTGATCAAGCGAAAATGTCTTTCGACAAATCAAAACACAAAGTCCCAGTTAACTTCCACAAACAGAGCCCCAATATATGAGTTATGTAAAGTTGCTGCGTCATAGCTCGTGCCGCCGTTTTTTAGGTATTCCAAGTCTGTGAATCGCATTTTCATAAAGCATAAAAGCCTCTGAGAAACAAACTGGAAGCGCTTGTAGAAAAGTTCAAACTTTTAAAACATTTGGACGACAACAATCTTCCATCATCATCATCATCATCAATCATCAATCATCAATCGTGTATCATCATCATAATCTTCATCATCGTCGAAGTATAATATCGAAGTACCATTTCTCTTCATTTTTCGTACAATGCAAAAGCCGTGCTATTTTTTGGATTTACTACCATGCTTTTCAGCCGTAGTAAAATGAGATACGTATTCTCAACTTTCAAAATTACTTATTAAAAAAGCCATGGCGAACTGCCATAGTATCCTCCCAGTAACACTCTTATGAACAAGCACATGAACAGATTCCTTCTATTGGAATTTGAAATTATTTGAAACGATTAAAAAAAAATTCGGTTGTACATAATCAATTTACCTTTTTTGTACAGAATGTGTTTCACTTTGCAGATCACACCTCTCGTTTTCTGTCAGAATGTGGAGTTCAGTGGTATCTGTACAAAAACGTTCCATTGAGACTTTGTCTACTTTAGGTTTTTTACCCCATTAGTTTCATATCCTGAAATTTTGAACGACTTCATTGATCCAAATCTTTATTGATGAGTGTTTGAAATACACTGTTGAGGTGTTAGGATAAACGAATTTTGCAAGTTTGAAAAAAGTTGGCATGTAAGTCTTCTGTTCTGCACTCAAAGGATATATGTTTTTAAAATGGCTTTGAAAAAAGCAAACATTTTACGACATACTAAAAGCTTTTTCGTCTGACACTCCTCAGAGCATAAAACGTCAGAATAGGTTCCGAAAAAACACGATGGAAAATATATACCCAGTTGTGGATCGAAATAGGCCAACAGAAAAACGCAAGCACAAGACCGGTATAGTTGACCAATCAGTGCCGCGAGCCTAAAGAAAAATTACCAATGGAGTCCAAGAGAGAAAACGAACTCCTTTTGTCTACACAATGGCGGCTTTTTCGTTTTTATGTCGATTGACTCCAAAACTGCTAGATGGAAGGACGACCGGGCTCTGCCAATTATCCGAAACATGTCGTCATTATAGAGTTTCGCACAATCTGGGTTGTCCAAAAGATGTTGACCGATGGCAGAATCATTTGTTTTAACAGATTTTCTAGATCTACAAGATCGAGGAAGCTGTTCTCTTTGAAGGGGCAGTTTTGTTTTTTATGTTGGAAGGAACATGCTGTTTTATCCTATCCCCCAATCTTTGGGTTGTTCGTCCTACGTAGCCAGAATCACACTGGCACGTAAATTCATAAATGACGGAACTTTTTTGTTTGGTAGGAACGCAATCCTTTTGAATGGATGGAAGGGCTCTCCTAGTGCTGTAAACAATCCGAGGATTGACAGCAAAGAAACATTTGGTTATGGCTTGCCTAATCTGACTCTCGAATCGCAAGGAAGTGTTACCAATCCATGGTAGTTTCAAATAAACTGGGCACTTTTGCGGACCAAACTTTTGAACAGCCGAAAAATTTGCGATCTTCTCCTTAGAAGAACTATACCGGTCTTGTGCTTGCGTTTTTCTGATTGGGCTATTTCGATTCACAACTGGGTATATATTTTTCCATCGTGTATTTTCGGAACCTATTCTGACGTTTTATGCTCTGAGGAGTGTCAGACGAAAAAGCTTTTAGTATGTCGTAAAATGTTTGCTTTTTTCAAAGCCATTTTCAAATTCTGTACCGCAAAAACATTGTTCACATATATGTTTTTATGCTGGATCTTGTTTTTCAAGCAAAACGTGAAAGCCTACTGTACTTAATTAATTGTAGTGTAGCAATTAGCTAAACAATTTTCAAAAATATTCTAGGCGACAATAAAATACTCAGCACTGAAATCGTGATGGATCTTGGGGAGTCTCTCAACCCTGCTATTGACATTGGTCAGATTGAAGGTGCATTTATGCAGGGCTATGGCCTGTTTGTACTGGAACAATTCCAACATTCACCAAATGGAGTGCCATTGACAGTTGGTCCATCGACGTACAAAATACCTGGTTTTGGTGATGTGCCTGAAGAATTCAACGTTTCTCTCCTTAGTGGTTTGTTACTTATATTTGCTATGCTTTATTTTTTATTTTATTATTTCGGAGAAAACTAGAGAGTGAATTTTATCAAAATTTCTATAACTGACAAGCTATTGCATTAAGAATTTGGATTTACTTACTTCGTGCTTAATGTTTTACTAATTTTGTTTGCAGGCTCTCCAAACGTAAGGGCCCTCTATTCTTCGCGAGCTGTTGGTGAGCCACCATTGTTTCTTTCCGCATCTGCATTTTTTGCAATCAGGGATGCCATTAGGTATGCTCGTAAAGATGCCGGCTACAATGGAATCTTCAAACTAGAGGCACCAGCAACGGCAGAACGAATCCGCATGGCATGTCAAGATCCGCTGACTGAAATGGTGCCTGAATTTGAGAAAGGCACTTTCCAGCCGTTGTTCATACAAGTCTGATTTGCTTGGACAAGATCGTTTTAACTGAAGAAGATTATTTGCTATCATTTTTTGTGCTGTTCGTTATATATATACTTTGTTTTGTACTGCAGCGAGCTTGTAAGGCAAATAGATGCTCGATGTGCACCACATGAATATAACGTGGTGTATTTTTAAGAATTTTATATATAGAATAAAGACCTATTTCTAAATTCAAGAATCTGTGTGATGATAAGAAAATGGTTCTCAACTATCTAAACAGAATTTGTAACTACCTTGATAATGACAAAATTGATTACGTAATGAGGTTTTTTCGATAGTATTAGCATCCTATGTTTTTTCGTAGTTTTGATATTTTGATTGTAATCCCTTTTACAAAATTTGTAATTTTGCAGTAGTATTCTAACTAGTATTTTGAAGACAATTTTATCAAACAATATATTCACTGAGAGTAAGGACCCTTCTCCATTGCCCTCAAGACTTTCGTCAATTTTATCCTTATTTTATCCTTCCACAGCAATTTTTACAATGACTATAATTCTTGATTGGATGAGAAATTAGTCTCGGGTGAAGGCGATATTAGATGTTTCGTAAGTATTAGATTTTGGCCTCATGAGATGAACGTACTTTCAATAAAGGACCATTATAATTTGATCGAATTCTGATTATATCTGATGATTAAAAACGACTTAATTGAACAAAAGAATAATTTACTTCGAAAATTCAATGCAAAAATATTAACATGTGTGTGCGTCTTTGATCATGAATTTTTGTACTCAATGAAGTATAAAGTTCCCTTAATATGATTTGATGAAAACATACAGGATCTCATCAAATTGTTGGCCCGAAACACCAGCGACAGAAAACATCATTTTTGTCTACTATTAAAGTGGTAAAGCAGAGTAGATGTGACAAACTATAAGTAATATACAAGCAAAAATGTTTGGAAAGATCTTTATTATTTAGTTTATATGTTTAACATGAGATAAAACAAATCTTAGGAACTGTTGTAGTAAATATCCTGCGCTCAGAGGCATGTCAACGGAAGCTTTATATGATACAGGAAAATGGTAGCAAGCGTGTAGCCTCTACACCCCTGACGAATTGGCTGAACGGAGGCTAGGAAAATGTTAGGCAGCGTGAAGCCTTGATGCTTCTGACGAATCGGCTGCACGCAGGCTATGAAAATGCTAATCAGTGTGATGCCTCTAAAGCCCAATCTCCAGTGAGAAAATAATCAGCGAAATGCGAAAAAGTTCGCGCGAAATATGTATTGGGCATGCGCAGTGATCTTTTGCTGGGATTTCTCGCGAAGAATTTCTCTGCGAACAATGTTAAAATGAGTTTAACTATTTTTGCTTTTCGCTTGCGAAATCCTTTAACAGCCAATCAGGTTCCGTATCCCTTTGTCACGCTTCCAAACTTTACATTCCAATGTCGTGAGGTCAACAAAAGCATTCAAAGGAATTTGTTCGCGTGAAGTATTTCGCAGCGAAATTTTGCAAGACTTTTCTCACTTGAAACTGGGCTTAAGCTCCTGATGAACTGGCTGCTCCCAGGCTAGGAAGTTGTTAGGCAGCGTGAAGCCTCCACACTCCTGACAAATTGGCTGAACGCAGGATTGGTTGTTTTTATTGGAGAACATCTCTTCAATTTATAAAAGAAGTGGTCCAAGGAAGATGTACAGTCCGAAAATCAGGAAATCTTTTTTACTGGATTTTTAGCTTTAAAAATTTGTTTTGATTTTTTATGATTTATGCGTAGGTTTGGTGGAAATAGGGAAGGGCATGTGTTTTCCTTACATTAAATGAAATTTTGTAGCTCTTAATCCATTTTTCAACGTGTGCAAGGTCACTCACTATTGATGGCGTCATTCATCTTTCATCAGCACAACATGATGTCTTTCCCACTTTGACCCGGAAACTGCGAAGGAGATTATTCCGGTTTACAAGCCAGGGCCTAAATGTGTGGCAATCGTAGTTTGAAATCAATCACAGCTGATGTATTCCTTGATTTCTAATAAGCAAAATAATCAACAACAGATTTGATGATCTGATGTCCTAGATCCAGGTTAGATCCCGTTTACACTGTCCCATGCAAGTTTGGAACTGTGACAAAACTGTCGTGGATCGCCCTTCCGTTTACACTAGCACTGTGGAACCGATACGATTTTGCTCTGCTATCCGGAACAGTTTTGACACTGCTTTGAAATCGAACGAATTTTGCACCGTCACGGTTCCGTTTTTAACGGGACAGTGTAAACACCTATCCGAGACGATTCTGTTACGGATTCACAATGAGGTCTTTTGCATGGCTGTTTCAGGCAATCGAGGCTTCGATTTTGGACGATTTTTTAGACGAGGGAATGGTCAAGATGGCTGTTGAAAATCAAGTGGCAGCGATCGCTGGGTTGAATATCTTTTCAGCAGCCATTTACGATGGTTACCACCGTCTTCGAAGAAAAGAAATTAAAAATTGTGAAGAAAAGACGACGACTTGGAAGATTCTGGACAGTTTGGTCTCTGTACTTATTTGTTATTGCTCCCAGTCCAAGCCTTCATTGTCTCGGCTGACAAAATATAGCCTTCTTTAAACAGTGCTTTGCCATTGATTTTAGGTCGTACCGGTACAGTGTAAACGGAATGGCTAAACGGAACAATTTGGAACCGCGACAGTGTAAACGGGATCCCGAGCGACCCTTGTGCAGGATAATAAAGGGAAATTGGCTGCAGGGGCAAGCCTTTCTTTATAAAAAGAAGAGGACAATAACCAATATTTGTTTAAAATGATAGAAAGTTACTGGGGCTGGAGGCAGTGCTGTCCAGAGACAGCTCGGGCCTGGCGGTGATTACCAAAACTGGACCCTCTTAAGAAATTTTCTGCGGCCACACCCTTCAGTCTCCCGGAGATTAAAGGAAACGCCCCTTTTAGGTGCAATTGTTGAAAAAATTTTGTAAGGAGTTAAAATGTTTTCTTAGTCGTAGCTATTTCATTCATGTGATCTTCCTTTTTTCCGCAGAATCCTAGCCTGCGAGAAAGTAGAGTCTGCGCAACAGAGCCGCTTTTCTTGTTCGCTGACATCAACATTTTATTCTAAGTTCTAGAACAAGAACTCCATTAGCGTGCAATGTTTTTCTGTAATTTCAGTTGTTCAAAAGGACAAACAGACCTATTCTATTATCCTGATACCATTCATTTATACTTCGGCTCGAAGGCGCCACTTTGAAAACTGAAAAAAGCAATTGAAATTCCCCCAACCAATCAAATTTGGTTCCTTGATTTTGAGGAACCTGTGAACAAGAAAATCGGCTCGGCTTCGCAGACTCCACTTTTTCTCCTATTTTCAAATTGTCAACAGAGTCTGCACTCAGGCTATAGAATCCCAATGCCTGGAAATTCATCAATTCTCCCCAGGCAAAACTTAAGAGAACCAAAATGACAGTCCCATCTCTCTGAATTTGGTTGCAGATAGTGCCCCCCAAACCTTGCAAAAATTGGCTGATGACGTCATATCAGCGCCTATGCACGTTTTAGCTGCTAACGTTTTTGTCCACAGTGAAGTCGACTTAGCAACAGAATAGAATATTCTGTGACTTAGCTAAGGCCCGAGTTACACGAAGTCGGATTGGTTTTCGCTTCGGATTGCCCACCCCAATCTGAAGCAGTTTGAACGATGCATTCACATTCAGTTATTCCATTCAAATCATTGTTGACCGTTTGTATTCATTTCCATGCAACACTGCCGCGAGTCAAGCACATACTAATTTCTCTCAAAATAAACCCCATTCTTCTGTGAACGTGCACCATAGAGTTAGGAACGATAGAGTGCCGACAGTAACACGTGATTTGTGGTAGCAAAGGGGATTCAAGATGGTAGCTCTAAGCCCCGGCCAAACGACTCAACAAAGTTGAGTCAACAGAGTTTAGTTATATGTTGAGTGAGTCGTTTAGCCACCTTGTTGAGCGTTGTTGAGCGATGTTGAGCGATGTTGAGTGAAGTTTGATCTTGGTGAAAAATGTTGAGTGATTTTGTATTGTTCTGAGGTGTTGTTGAGCGATGTTGAGTCGTTTGGCCAGGCACATCACCAAGTTTTATGCGCTCACGCGCAGAAATGCTGTTTTAAACCTTGGCGCCAAACGCACTGACACTGAGTTTCTGCATATGCGAAGAATGGATGCTGATGAGAGAAGAAAGCGACGTTGTGACGATGAGAGAGATCGGATCACAGTCACTCATGAGGATGATTTGGAGGATTTTGACCCTTGTGAATCAATTTGCAGTGGGGAAGAAAGATGGCCTACTAGCCCGTATATCAGTGAAAACGATAAGGCCCTGGCTACAATGAACAAAGTTCTCACAAAGGCAAAGAGAGTCACAAAGGCCTCAACACCGATTCACAGAAATGAGAGCATATCCCTGCATGCTGTAAATACGCTTGCCTTAGCCCCATAAACAAAATGGCAGACTTTTATTTTGATTTAAAAACTGAGTTCCGGACTTCCGGACTAAGTTCCAAGCCCCAATCGCGCTCGCAATTCGGAATGTTGAGTCAAATGTTGAACGAAAAGTTCAGTCGTTTGGCCACCCGATACTCAACAACGCTGAACAACACTGAACACGACTCAACATTGTTCAGCGAAATGTTGAGTGAAAAGTTGAGTCGTTTGGCCAGACCTTTAGAGTGGCAAAAAGATTGCGCCCGAAACTTTGTTTACTTATTTCGGTATTTCTGCTACCATACGCTATCAGCTTGTTTTTATTCGCGTTTCTATCGTTTACAGTGTTATTGCTAACAGTGTACAAGTATACGATTACGTTGTTCAACATGCCGAAGTCTTGTTCAGCTTACAATTGCACAATAGGAGTGAAGGGGGAAATAAAAATTTAACCTTCCACAAGTAAGTAAGAATGCAAGTAGATTCAGTTTTAAACAAAATTGAGCCAATTCTATTTTTTTATTTCTAATTTGAACTCCAGAAAGCCAATTTTTAACCTTAAGGAAGGGGGTTAGCCCTTGAGTGGTCCAGTGGAGAAAGACCAAAATAATTTTCGTATGGAGACTTGGCTCACCGGCAGCGGCGCCTGCAATAGATTAAGGCAGGAGGGGCAGTGGTGGTGCTGAGGGCAAAAAGTAGAATTTTTTCAACATCATAATCAAGTACTTGTGAGGGCGGGTGGTACAAAATAACATATTTGCATGCATCTAGCTGTGCCACCCATACAATTGGGTTTTTTGTAATCAAAGGCTCTACGCATAGGCATAGTGTTGAGAAAATTATCCATGCAATTGGATATTAAATGGCCTTATCATTATTCGAAATGTTTGGTTTTACAGAAGTCATGGCAATTATAAATGGGCTGGTTCTAAAACTTTGATTGTCCGCTTAGTCTCACTACTCTATGATTGCAGAATCATTGAGAATGTAAAAAGAAAAAAATAGTAATCACAACATATTTAAGGGCACTGCTTGCCCCCTTTGCCCCT